ACTAGACATAAGTTTAAACATGTAAGCCAGATTCCATATTCATTAATTAATTAGGTATTGGTATGTATCATGCTAGGTACGTAATGTTTCGTTCTAATGTAGACTGAATAGGTTAAGTAATTTTCTTAGGTCATGTAGCTTATAAGTGATAGAATCAGAGGACTCAAGCCTTTTGAAGCTAATTTTTATATACCTTCCTCTGTATCAGCTGCCCATGACTTGGGTGTATTTCCTTTGAATTGGTATGTGTTTTTAATGATGATAAAGTTGTGGATAAGTTAAGTGAATTAGATAGTTGTTGGTTTTTTTTGGTGTATGTGTGTGCAGTTGGAGGGGTTATCTATAACAGAAAACTATATTTGTGTAATTTTCAAAATACCTTCAAATATATTAAACATATGCTCCCTATTAGAAGTCCGAGAGACAGGGAAATTATAATTAGTTTCACTATTGAAGAAAATGTAGCTTCTGTTGATTATGGCTTCCCCAGGTCACTGGTGGACTGGGCAGAATAGCCAGGATGAAAAACTAGGTCATCTGGCTTTGGTGTTGATTCTTGACATCACTGTGTATGATGGACATTCCATTTGGGCACATTTTCCAAAATACATGAAAATATTTGTTTGAAATATTCAAAGTGGCAACTGTTGGTTGAAATCACTCAACCCCCTCTTTCCTGTCCCTCACCACACCATAGAATGTTTTCACTCCTAACTTCATGTAACATAAATTATTAACCCTAAGTTTTTTAATGTTTACATATACATTTAAAATTCTACTTTTTTAGGAGAGGTTAAATTTTGCAAAGGTATTTCTCTACTATTTGAACTAGAAAGACACATGTGTTGTGGTTTGAAAAGAGTATGTGCAGGTAAATGATCGAGAATCAACTTATTCCTGCTTTCCACCCTCATTCATTGAAACTTAGTATTAAAGTTTGTTGTTGTTAAGTGCCATCAAATCAGTGCCGACTCATAGCAATTGTCTATAGTTTCCTAGGTTGTAAATCTTTGTGGGAGCAGAAAGCCTCATCTTTCTCTCTCAGAGCAGCTGGTGGTCTAGATCCACTGACCTTGTCGTTTGCCATCAAGTGCTTACCCAGCAGAGCTACTTTGCTCCCCAGTGTTAAAACTAGTTGATAGTTTTTCTCACTAATTTTACAATGAATTATTAGTCACTCAAACTAAACCTCATTGTAGAAGAATTGGTTCTATAGTGTATTCATTCACAGACTATACAGAGAGTTTATATTTTAGTTTCCTCTATCTATAATAGAATTCAAATGTATTTGTTTGTAATGACTCATACTTAATAGGCTGTGTGAATGAATTACATTTTGATGCTCTGTCTCTTTAGGTATTATTAACCAGTTCCTTTTCTGTGTCATATCAGTCATGCCTTTCTGGGCAATAATTAAATAATGTCGCTGATAACACAGAACTGTGGAGTTCTGCAAATCAGTTTTAAAATGACTGGGATTTGCTGGATGAGAGTGGTGATAATCAGGGAGAGGAGGGAGAGAATGAAAACTGGTAGTTTGTTATTTATGAAAATTGTTTTCTCATCCTAGTCACGGTAGTGTAAGAATAAAACTTTTAAATAGATTTCACTTTTTAAAATAACATATACTTCAAGGTAATTTATGTGAGGAGATTGAATTTACTTTAGTACTTGAGAAAGGACATCTCTTCAGATTTAAAAAGTGATTCTAAGTGATATTTCTACTATCTAAGAATAATTATTTTGTTATCTGCCTTTTGTTATACCATAATAAAAATTTTGATTCTGTACATGTATGAAAACCTACAGATTTTTCAAAAAAGTGTATCTTGCTCTCTAGGAATTCAGTAATTTGAGAACTGAATTTTTCAGTATTTTTCAGTATTTTGGGAAGCACCAAATAGTGTCATAATAATAACTTTGTAACAATTTTGACTAACATTTGTCTGTTTTGGTTCATCTGTGTTTCATGATTATTTTGAAGCATGTTGTTTGTGTAACATCCTTACTTGAATTGTTTTTAATTTTGCCATTTCATTTTTTCTTCTTCATTTTGTTGGGGGCCTCATGTTTGTATGTTTTTCATCATAATGAAAACATCACTGTCTTCTCTACTCTCACTTCTTTCTTTCTGTGTTTTATTTCCCCTCCAGTAACCCAGGCACAGTGTAAGTACTTAAACCAATGCTTCCATTTGTAATTTTCATCATTGCCTCTCTGTAACTTTCTATCTCACTTTCAACTTTAACATCACTAGCACATTTTGTTAGTGTCTTCTATTTAAAATTTCTCAGCCTATTAAGAAGAATAAGAAACATGTTCTCCATGTTAGAGAATGTCGCATTTTTATCAGTGGGTATGTTTAGAACACCCACCTATATTTCTGCAATGTAAAAACTTAGCAAAACCTCCATGGGCGGGGCGGG